GCTACTAGTCTGAGCCTCGTCCTTTTTCACATTTTCGGGCTTGGCTAGGTGAAGTTGCCGTGTCTCTATTCCGGGCGCGTCGTGTCATGAAAACGATACATATCCATATGCCCTTCAAGTTGCTGAGTGTGAAGGATCATGGTTAAGAAGGCTATGTTGGCATACGTTAGCAATGTCTTCAATCTGAACTGTATCTCCTTGAGGGAGGGTTTTTGAATGGCTTTGTTCTGCACAGCGTTTCCCAAACAATCAATCACTTTCAAAGCTGGGTGTTTGAGAGATGGTTATATAATCCTTTTATATATATATCGTTTTATGTCGTTTCCTTTCTGGTCTTGATTTTCTATCATCTTGGCTCCTTGAAATCCAGGTATCTCCAGGGAGCTGGCGTGAACTCCCGCGATGCCTATGAGCTTACGTGCGGGCACTCGGTTCGGCTCAAGTGCGGGAGTGCAGATGAAGTGCATGATACGAGAATCTCCATCAAGCTAACTGTTCAAGATAGCTTTTCCGATCGATTTCTTAATTGAGGGGCGAACGATGATGTAGTGTGAAATCACTTTGGACGATGCTGGGGCCAAGCGGTTTGAAGCGCGGCATGAGGCCTTTGCACTGTGCGGTGGGGAGCCACGGCTGTAGGTGCCAGCACCACGTTTCGACCTTCCCACGCTTTGAGGTGATGGCAGGCAAACAGCAGACTGTGCAGCTCTTGCTGAGGAGGGGCTGGGGGTTGGAACTCGGGAAGTAAAACCGATCCATGAGACACCTACCAGATGCTCTAAGTTCTGGGCATTCTTTGCAGCTCCCCGCTCCTTCATAAGTACTCTTGCACTTAGCCAGACATGAGCCGTGGCGTTAAGCTTTCCTAGCCACATCTCCATTGAGAATCCCGAATCCACCGAAAATGTTTGGACTGGTAGATCCGTCACTATGTAATATTATGTACGTACATATGCATAAGTTACACAAGATATACTCTCATGAAGTAGGGCTTTGGCCTTTCCACTTGATTGCTGTCGACTTACCACTGGTAGATTCATTGCAGTCGGCAGTTCGCCGCAGGCGCTCTGCAGATGCCTTGTCGGTGGACACCAAGGGTCGCCTGCCGCTGCACTGGGCTGCGCTGCACGGGCGTGGCGCACTGCCGGCCTCGGTGGGGGTGTTTGTTGCTGAGGGCGGATGGTCATGGCTTTCTGCATTTGGCCCTCTCAACCTTTGGGCTTCTCTCCACCTTTGCTTTTGAGGCAAAATGATCCTGTCCGCCAGCTTGCGCCAGGTTCATTCCGAAGGGTCCCTGGGTGGCCTGGTGGCCCTCCGAAGCAAGGCCACGGGGTTTCCTGCGCCCATAGACCACGGCGTTCCGGCGTTTCTTGGGCCCTTGCTAGGGACGTCGTGACTCCAAGTTGAGATTTGGTTGGATTCAAATTGCACACTGTTTGCGACAAGTGGCAATGGCAGCGTCTGCTTGATACGAAGCTTGCCTAAATCAACAGTTAACACAAAGTAATAGAAAGGAGAAGATGTTTCTCCCCTAGGCCCTAGGCAAGTTGGTTGCCATAGAAAGTATGAGAGAGGGTGCACTTGTGGTTGTTTGTATTGATACCTGAACCCTCCAGCAATTCCAGAATGAAAGATGGACATCAAACCATTGCTGGACTGTTTTTGCGAGGACTCCGGTGGCCGACTTCCACGTGAACTGGTTCAGAGATGGGACCCGTGTCTCGGGAGGGGAAGATTTCGGAGAGGCATCATTTTTTGCAAACACCTTAGCTGCGGGGAGAGAGAGAGAGAGAGAGAGCAGTGATGCAGACAGAGAAAGCTTGAGACGTCTTTTCGGTGGAGGATGTGGCCACACGGCTCCAGCTGGTGGCTTTGGAGGCGCGCCCTTCCTCCCAATTGGCACGGATGTTATTTGGATGAGAAAGTGCAGAGGCTTGGTGCACATGGCAAGAGACAGCGGGTGGATTCCTCAGACGATGTGTAGGTGAACGATCAGCAAGTGTCAGCATGCAACCAACTGGAATCTCATTTGTTCGATTGTATCACTTTACAGGGGCATACCTCAATCCGTGCAGAGGCTAATAGACACCGCCCCGTACAGCAGGCACAATCGATCAAGAAATGAGTGCTCGAGAGTGCCTTTTGAGTCCTCTTGAGCATTGAAGGCTGTCAATCCTGTGGCGCCCCCCCTCAAGTGAGGTCGCTGGAGGCATTTGCCGGCTCCATGACATTTCTGGTCGATGTTGGTGCTGCTCCTGACGCCTTTGTGTCATGGCCAGGGCGCTCAGAGAGTCCAAAGTTCCAAGACTAGCCAGATGGTGCCAGATGCGAATGAAGATTGTTGAAGCATGTTGAAGCAAATCTTAAGAGCGCCGACTTTCTTGCTTGAAGCATATCAGTGGCCGGCTTTTCGGAATCCTGCACATACAGAGGCACAGCAATTTCCCCAACCCTTATATACTTTGCAGAATTCTAGTAGGATCCCTGACCAGTACTGTATATATTCATTATAGTATATTGCACACACACATACATACATACATATATATATATATAAACAATTTATATATATATATATATTAAGCTGACAGTTCGCATCATTCGTCACAAGCACCACGAAACAAGTTTCCCTGCTGAAGGAATGGTCAGCACGCGCCACATTCTGGAGAAACACCTTGATTTGCTTCTAGACCCGATTCATCAATACTTGTTTGAAGCACTTGCGCCCCCCAAACAATCTGACAGCATCTGACAGCAACTCTCCCAAATGACTCCCAAAAAGAGCACTTCGCGCTGTCATTGTTGGATCTCTCGCACTACCCTGCACATTGCACATGGCTCGCCGGACACGCATCCCACGTCGATCCCGGCCTGCCCTTTTGGCAAGTTGGGCCTGCGCAGTGAGTGAGGAGCTCAGATGAGCCAAGGTGGGGAGACAAGCAGGAGAGTGAGCGAGCGTTGCAATTCCGAAAACGAACCCGGTGCTGAAAACAAGTCGTGCTTTCGTTTCTTTGGGGTGCCTTTGTAAATCAACAGCGGAGGATAGTCGCACGATTTGACCGGTCATCACCCCAATCAAAAGCTCGCGACCAACAGGTGGGTTAAAACTTGGATGAGCCGTACATATTTATCTCCGTTCCTTATACAGTAGCTTTTGCGGAACTTGCCCACCTTTGATGCATGCTTGGAGCTGCTCACGGGACTTCTCCAAGATCCGCCTTTTCCGCACAATTCTATTATTGTACACTATTGCGCTATATTGCTACCACTCTTTGGTTGCAGTTTGCGCACCGCAGCTGAGGCTTTGCATGCCTTGCGAGAGGGCACGGCGGAACGCAAAAGGCAGATTTGTGCGAACATGCTGCCAAATCCTCGAGCGCAGGTGTAGGCCCACCGTAGCAACCCAACTTGTTTGAGGCCGTTCCCAAATATACCTTATATATGGGCTTGAGTAGGCACTGAGCCCAGGTGGTTGAAGATGTTGAAGGGGACCTTACGACATCTCAGGACACACCTTCGCCCAAGTGGCTCGAAGACGACCAACAAAGAGTGACAAACATCATCTCGATCATTCCCCCATCTCGACTTGCAAATAGACTCAATAGACTAAGTGACCAAGTCCCATTGGTCTCATTGGTTGGATGTCCCATTTTAGCAGAACAACATGAACCACCCAGTGCATCGTTTGCCGCTTTGGGTGCCTCCAGGCTGTGAGAACAGCAGTGGCAGATGCCCCGGCATCGGCTGACTTAGTCACATGGCCTGAATGAAGGAGGATGAAGACGTTTGTAGACCCAACCGATCCAGCCTAAGGGCAAAACAAATCCAAGACTGATGCAATGCAGAAAGCTGATTGCCAGGTTTGTGGCGGAGGACTGTGTGCCGGCGTGCACTTATTGTGAGAAAACGCAGCTGGCAGTCCTTGTGCATTGAGGTGTCCAGAAACATCATGGGTTTGGGTTTGGGGTAGTGGCCTCTCCATTCACCAAGTATGACGCCACGATTCACATTGTGAGTGGAGTTTTTTTTTTCAACTTGTTTCAATCTAAATTCGTTTCCCTGGTCACTCCTTGATCAAATGGCTGGGTTTTCCAAAAGTGAGATCATGAAATTACCTCGTGACCCCCCCCAACATGTCCTTCTTCATGAGTTCTTCTTCACCTCGCTGGCTCCGAACCAAGGCTCCTCCCGTGGATTTGCGCCAGAGCCCTTGGGAAGCCTTGCACGAGGCCTTCCAGGCGTGAGACGGAGGATTTGCTTGCAGCTTCTTGTGATAATCCTGCAGCTTCTTGTGTGATGGATCTATCAGTTCGAAGTTAACATGCGGGTGGCAGGGGTGGGCCTATAGTACTTACTACTACGCATTATTTGCGTATATCTCATTAAAACTCTATGGCTTACGCATGTCCTTCCCCTCTCGCAACAGAAAAAGCCAAGGCTGAGGCTCGGCGGTGCTGGGGGCCTGGCTTTGATGGGAAGGTTCCCGGTTACATTGCAGACGCTTGTTGGCCCTGGCGATGTAGTCATCGGCACGGAGGGAAGTGATGGATGCTTTGGAATCTTTGGATACATCTCAGCCCCCTAACCACCAATAGTTGGCAAACAAGCACGCTAGACCAACGCATAACTCAATCATAGCTCTTTTGTTGAGCTGGGTCGCTACTACCCTCATCCCCTTTAGCTGGGCTGATAAACGTCCAAGATTTCCGCTCTTTGGGGTTCGTGACGTACATTGCCGCAAGCCCACAAGGAGTTACAAGGAACAAGAAGCTACTAGGGGCTCCTGGCCGTACTGCTAGGAGCAGGGAAGCTACTCGGAGCAAGGATGCTATTAGAGGCTGCAAACCACAGTCCCATGATGTCCCATGCCTTTTTTCACCCACCACCACTGCTGTGAGAAGGCATCACGATGCCACAGATGCCGATTCCTACGCTTTAAGACACAATTCCTGCCGACTTTACGTGCAAGACTGTCTGCGGCAAACATACTTCGAAGCTTTTGATCATGCCTCCGTCTACGCTGCGCCAAGGAATGCTTGAGCCCAGAGCATCCGGCGAAGGCAGAGGAACCTCCCTTCCGCCGACGATGGCTGAAACGTAGGGAAGAAGATCGCAGAGAAGCAGCGGCCACTTGGATTTAACAGATGATTGGATGATGTAATGAGAGGGAAGATCAAAGACGTGGCATTGTGGGCAATGTGGGATCATTGAATCATCACATGAGCAACAGCCAAAAGGGTCCGGTCACAAATCTTTGTGAGAGGAACTTTTGCATAGAAATCATGAGGGAATCCTGTAAAGGGATATAGTGAACAACCAAAAGCGCTACCATCATGTCATTCAATTTTCCTTATGGTATTTCTTGGCTTTGTCAGAGGCTTGGCAATTCCGCTTTACAAACAACAATGCCAAAGCGATACCACTTTTTATTTACAGTATATAAATGGCGTCTAGATGAGTGAGAACTCCCTTTGTATCATGTCCTAACCGTCCTAACCTGTGCATGCTACAGATGAAGAGCTCTAGAAAAAGAATCGCTGGGGCAATGAAGGGGGAAGGAGGGCTGCTTTGTGAATAGAATTCTCATGAATTCTCTCTCTGTCTCTCTCTCTCTCTCTCTCCCCCTCTTTCTCTCCACCTCTACCATGTATAAGGTTGACACAGGCATCTTAAGCGGTAAAAGCTATCAACCAAAAGCAATACCAACATATGGAGTTCCGTTTTTTTGTGCATAGGTTTTGGCGCTCGCTCACATGTTCGAGTTTGGAACCAATTGAAGCTTAGACATGTTGAAATGACATAAGCTGACCTGGGTACTGAACGGGCATAGTGTGCAGCGATGTGTCTCTTCTTTGACGGGAGTAGATTGGAGTCTGGTTGGAGGATCCATTTCGAGGTCTTCCTTCAAAACGAGGCCTCGCTCCGACGTGTCACTTGCTCCGACGTGTCACTTAGGACCCCTACGAGACCTTGGGTGTGTCCCGGAACTCCACGCTGCAAGAGATCCGCCGAGCGTCCTTGTGATGGCAATGAAGTCCAGAAATGTCACGAAAGCTAGCATGCTAGCTGAGTTCTTCTTTGCTTTAGCAATGTTGTGGTGGGAGGGGCTGCGTGCCTTAAAGATTGATATATCAAGCTAACCCCCCCCCCCCCCGCGGTTCAACTCCCAGCTGCGCCGCTTCGCTTATTGCTGTGGTGCACCATTCCACTGAATGCATGATGTGTCTTTTACTGTCTTTCTTAACAGCTACAGGTTCAGAGAAACACCCGGCCGGGCAGACAGGGACACCTTACTGCGTGGCGCTTCATTGCAGTCCTCTACTACTTCAAGACCCGGAGGGGGCTGCACCCACACATCAAAAATGCAAGAAATGCTTGCCATTGCTTTTAGAAAATCTGGGGGGTAAATTTACCCCCCGCTTTTGGATGCCTTTGCCGGTTCTTTGGGGCAGTCCAGGGGAGGCTTCAAGTTCTACTTGCACCCACACATCAGATAATGCAAGAAATGCTTGCCATAGCTTCTACAAAATCTGAGGGGTCAATTTACCCCCCACTTTTGGAGGCCTTTGCCGGTTACAAAGTATCAGTTATATAAACGTAAGTCAAGCTTCTTTGGGGCAGTCCAGAGGGGGCCTCCAGCTCTATTTGCACCCACACATCAGTGATGCAAGAAATGCTTGCCACAGCTTCTACAAAATCTGAGGGGTAAATTTACCCAATAGAGCACTCTTATTTCTCCTCAGCCTTTCATAAGCACTCTTATTTGTCCTGCTTTAACTTTTTTCCTCTTTACAATTCTCAGCCGAAAAAGTCCAGTGCGCTTCCGCTAGCTTTCGACCTCCTCCCCCTGGCCTCAAGTTGGTCCAATGCGTTAGACATTTGGTGACAACAGTGATATACTGTTATACTCCTGTTTTTTAAAGCCTGGGGGAAGCCAAAGGGATCCAAAGGGCAAGTTTGTTGGTTCATGGTTCTACCTTCAATGAGGTGAATTCTTGGCTGGGCGGGGGTTCGCCCAAATTGACTGAACCTGTGCGCATGGGGTTTGTGCCAAGTGATCCTTCTAAGCTATTGCTATACTTGTAGCACCCCACTTTGATCAATAGGTGGTCGAGGTTGCTGAGTCAGTGCTTTTCACTGCAGATCCGACTTTGATATCAAACTGTCACAGTCAGTCAATGCAGTTTCGCCGCGTTCGCATCATAGGATGATGGAGCAGCCCGTCCCACCAGAAACCGCGGCCACCAGAATTGATGTCACAACTTGTGACCTTG